CCTTGGGGGGCCGCATCTGGCCCCTGGGCCTTAGGTTGCCTATCCCTGAGCTAAGGCCTTAGTTGCTCATTGGCACTGATGCATACCAAGTGTTTGCACATTTGCTTGAATGACTATGACAGAGCTTAGAACTCACATGCTCAGCTGCCAAGTGGAAGACTCAGTCTAAACCGATGCCACAAACACAATACCATCCAATTGTATAACATGCACTATTCTGTTAGGTGTCCTATCACCCTAGCAAGCCAGTGTGAGGTGGTGGAGGAGAAATACTTATTAGAATCATTGACTTATAGAGCTGAATGAGACCCCAAGGGCCATCCAGTCCACCCCCCTGCCATGCAGGAGTGTATAATCAATACACAATACTATTAGGTGTCATATGCTCCTCTCTAATGCTGTTTGCTTTTTTAAAAAAGGGTTATATATATATATATATATTAAAATGGTTAGAATGTAATTGCTGACTATTTCCTTGAGGAAATACTGAAACAACAGTTGATACATTATAAGCAGAAGCTTTTCTAGTTCTATCCAAGCTACCTGGTTTTTTAAAAAACTGAGTACACACATTTTGAGAGCCAGCATGGCGTAGTGGTTTGAGTATGGGACTAGAACTCTGGAGACCAGGGTTCGATTCTCAGCTTCACCATGAAACCCACTGGGTGACCTTGAGTAAGTCACATTCTCTCAGCCTCAGGGGAAGGCAATGGCAAACCACTTCTGAACAAATCTTGCCCAGAAAATCCCATGGTAGATTTGTCAGTTAGGGTTATCATAAGCTGGAAATGACTTGAAGCACACAACAACAACAACAAGCACACTTACTAAAGCAAGCTTAATATACTTTAAGAACAATATTTTTGACTCAAGGTCTACATTTCTTTCTGGGTTGGCTGAAGGATTGTTCTGCAGATACTGTGGACTGGCAAAAAGACAAACAAATGGATCCCGGAGCAAATAAAGTCTGAACCTTTTCTAGAAGCCAAAGTGAGGCTGTTGTACTTGAGACTGATCATAAGACACCAGGACTCACTGGAAATGACTACAATGCTTGGTTAAGTGGAAGGAAGCAGGAAAGGAGGAAGAGCACCTTACAGGTGGAAGGACTCCATGGAGGAAGCCACAACTCTTTGAGTTTGCAAGACCTGAGCAGAGAAGTTGATGGCTGGGACTCTTGGAGGCCTGTTGTTCATAGGGTCGCCAGATGTCGAAACAGATCTAAAGGCCATTAACAGCCACAACTTGTGTGCACACCAAGAGTGAAAATAGTGTAAGGGCGAGAGGGAAGGAGTATTCCTGAAAGTTTAGAAGTCATGGAAGGTGGGAAGGGAAGGGAAGGGAAGTGGAAGGAAGGAAGGAAGGAAGGAAGGAAGAAAGAAAGAAAGAAAGAATTGGAAATGTGACTTCTTTGGCTTGCAGGAGGGTGCTGGCCAAGGTGCTGAACACCAGAACAAGAAGCCAAACCAGCATCCCAAGCTCATCCCTGAGAAACTTCTCTTCTGTTGCCGAGAGGCAGTGTGGTGTAGTGGTTTGAGTGTTCGACTATGATGCTGGAGACCAGGATTCGAATCCCGGCTCAGCCATGGAAGCCCATTGGGTGACCTTGGGCAAGTCGCACTCTCTCAGCCTCAGAGGGTGGCAATGGCAACCTCCTCCCCTCACCCCCGACCGGGTGGCTTTTATATGGGGTATATGTTCCAGATTATTATTTTTCCCCACTTTTGTAGGTTTTTAATCTTAACCGTACATTGTTTTAACTAGGTTATTTTAATTGTGTGTGTGTGTGTTTAAAAAGAAAATTATTTTTAAAGTGTTTTTTTTTATCTTGTGAGCCGCCTTGGGTCCCTTTTGGGAGAAAGGGGGCATAAAAATGAAGTGAAATAAACTTGCTCAGAAAGTCCCATGATTAGGGCTGCCCTTGAAGACACACAGGTAGTAGTAGTAGTAGTAGTAGTAGTAGCAGTAGTGCTTTTAAAGCCAAACCTTGTGGAGGGTTTTCTCCCTCCAGCCCCTTCCAGCCCCTTGGCCACCATCAGCCTCCCTTTTCAACCCAGGTGTCCTTTGGGGAAGGCAAGGAGGATCCCCCGAAAGTTGAAAGGAGAGGTGGAAAAAGGAGGGGGAAGCCTAGCAGAGATCTGCCTCCTTGGAAACTCTCTTGCAATTCACACGAGCTGCCTCTAGATACGTGTCTTCCCCCTCCCTGCTAGTTTTGGGGAGACAGTGAGGATGGAGCTGCAGGAGCCCAAAGGACCCCTTTCCCCCTCCACACACAAGAGATGGCATTCCTCCTCTCCTTCTCTCTCTTTCTCCTTCTCCACTTTATTGGAGGCCAGAACAGATCCAGGGCGACCAGAGGGAGGGTCCTCGCCGCAAAGGAGGACCAGGCACCTCAAAATGGGAGGACAGCCCAGGGAGAAAAGAAACACAAGGGAGGAGGACCTGACCCAATCCAAAGCTCAAAACACTCCTAGGGAGACCAACTCCATGCACCTTAAGGGGAAATGGAGAGGACATGTTGGAATCTCTCAAACCCCCCTCCCCTCCCCATCCCATCCCTCTTGGACAAGATGGCTGGGATGGAGGACCTGTCCGGGAAAAGGAGGACGCCCGGTCTGGGCTGGGTGGAAGGGACTCCCTAGGGAAAGCCCTGCAAAAGCCAACTTGGCAAGGAAGGCCTGCAATGGGAGAGGACCAATGCTTACCTGGTCCTGACCTCCTCCTCCTCCTCGTCCTCCTTGCTGTCCGGTGAGCAAATGCAGCCGCGGGAGCTGCAGATCTCTCACTCGGCGCCCATCTCTCGGCTCTGCCACGTCTTAGGAGGCACTCCTTGGGAGCCTGCCCCCCCTCCCGGGCATGCGCACTGAGAGCCCCCGAGAGGAGGAGGAGGAGGAGGAGGAGGAGGAGGAGGCGGCTTTGGCAGACCTTGCCTGGAGGACCAGGGATGAGAAGGCACTGAGAGAGCCTTCTTTTTAGGTGACCAGCACCTCCCCTCCTTTCCCAGGACATGCCCTGCATTACTTCCCAGCCTCCTTGTCCAAGAGAGGTTCCCAAAGCTCCTCCATTTTAAGCAGGGCCATTGTTATTCCCTATTACCAGGTATAGTAGTAACCAAGTTGGAAACGGTTTAGCAGCTAGAACTAGAAAAGATCCTAAAATGCAAAGACATGCAACTCAGCACAAAAGTCAGAGTCATACAAGACATCGTGTTCCCTATTACCATGAGAGCTGGACAGTCAAGAAAGAAGATAGGAGGAAAATCAATGCATTTGAGAGAATGTGGTGCTGGAGAAGAATGCTGAGGATCCCATGGACAGCCAAAAGGACAAACAAGTGGATCCTAGAGCAGATCAAGCCAGAAATATTCCTAGAAGTCAAGATGACAGGACTCAGGGGTAGGCAACCTTTCCCCTTTAAGGGCCGAGGGACTTCAGCTCCCAGAATCCCAGGAGCTATTGGCCAACATGGCAGAGGCTTCTGGGAGCTGAAATCCCTCGGCCCTTAAAGGGGAAAGGTTGCCTACCCCTGCTGAGACTGTCAAACTTTGGACACATCATGAAAAGGCATGAATCATTGGAAAAGGCAATAATGTTTGGAACAGTGGAGGGAGGTAGAAAGAGAGGAAGGCCACATGCTAGATCAGGGGTAGGCAACCTTTCTCCTTTAAGGGCCGAGGGATTTCAATTCCCAGAATCCCAGGAGTTATTGGCCAACATGGGACTATTGGCCAACATGGCTGAGGCTTCTGGGAGCTGAAGTCCCTTGGCCCTTAAAGGGGAAAGGTTGCCTACCCCTGTGCTAGATGGATGGACTTTATTAAAGAGACCATGAATAAGAGTTTACAGGAGCTGGGCAGAATAGAAGAAGATGGGGGGGGGGGGGGAGGCTGGAGATGTCTCATTCATACGATTGACTTGGGTGGAATTAGATGCAAAGGCAGTTAACAACAACAAAAAAGGAATCTTGATCAGAAGGTGGGGGGGGGGGATGCAATCAAGAATTCAGAACTAGAAAAAGCTCCCAAAGAGCAAAGATATACTGTACAACTGAAATGGTATAAGCCATTGTATCCCCCATGACCATGTATGGATCTAAGAACTGGATAGTTAAGAAAAAGGGACAAAAAGAGAATCCATTCATTTGAGATAATGTGGTGCTGGAGAAGAGGGCTGAGGATCCCATGGACAGCCATTTCACCTGGCAACCCTAACCTGAAGTGATTTTTACAGGGATCATGGCAAAGGCAAAAAGGTTTAGCTGCCTTCTAATAAAACAAAATCTTTTTGATGAACTTATGGTTCCTGAAATATAAAGGAGTTTTTGCAAATGCCAGAACTTATGGCAGAGCATGTTTAGGGAATGAAATCTTGTTTACTAGGAAAGAAGTCCCATGGAGCTTAGTGGCGCCTCTGAGTAAATCTGTTTAGAAGCAGATTACCATAGTGTGGTCCTTTGCGTGTCTGCTGACAAAAATGTATTAAAGGCCCTTACACAGAGATGAGTGAGTATTTGGAATAAGTCCAACTGAACTCAGGGGGACTTCTCAATAGAAATTTATTTATTGATTGATTGCATTTATATCTTGCCTTCCTCCCAAAAATGGGATTCAAGGTGGCTTTCAATAATTCACCAAAGGTGGGGCTAAAACAGTAGGCTTGAAGTGTTAATGATATTGATTTAAGAATCCCAGCTGGGAAGCTCTTTTACTAGGTTAGCTAATAAAAATGATCTTATTAGCTGCCCCTTTGAGGAAACTGAACCAGAGGCCCAAATTCTTCTTCTTCTTCTTCTCTGTAGATCTTTCATTCTAAAAATAATTTGGTTTAGAATAGTAGCATTGCCACATCACTAGCTGACACTAGTGCTAAGTGAGGCTACTTGGTAAAATAAATTCAGAGTTTCTTTTTGCCCAAGTCAAATTACTCATAAGGCATTACAAATATTTTTGTAAAATATGCAGATGTTTTTGGCATTGATGAGAAAGTAATATAGACATCTGAGCAGGAAAAAAAAAACCCATGGGATATATGATGGGCATAAAATGTCAAATTAAATATAATAACTTATATGAAATTTTTCAGCCCACCACAATTCTACATTACTTGCAGTGATGGCTGTGGCTAATGGAAACAGTGGTCTAAAATATTTGGAAGGGCACCAGGTTGAAGAAAGTTGACATATTGAATTATTTCCCCTATATTTGGAGCACTTGAAAATATAAATTGGGGTGCTAGATATGCGATCCTCCAGATTTTGTTGGATTGTAACTCCCATGATTTCTCCCATGTCATTGGCTATGCTGGCTATGGCTCATGGAAGCTGAAGTCCAACTTCATCTGAAAGTTACATGTTTCCCATCCCTGATGCTGATGTAGCACACAGATATCTTTCAATGTTGTGTTGATGGTGATTCAGAAGTGATCATTTGAAGTTTTTTTTGGCATTGTGAAGATTGTGTTGCATTGCCAGACATCACCCATATTTGCATAGCCCCCAACTATCCTGCTTTGTCAGGTACAGTTGCATTTTAATACCCTGTTGTTTACATTCCAGCTACTTTTAAAATGCCCCAATTTCTCTTTTTTCCTCCCACTTTCTCCCTGTAGTCTCTGCTTTCTTTGTTTGCTGTAAACTGAGTTCAAAATGCAAAATAGTTTGCACATACATGTTTAACTCAGATCAGAGCAGAGAAGAATCTACAGACTCAAGCAAAAACAAACTTTTTTTTTGCTTCTCCTAGTTTATGTGTTCTTCCTCATTAATTATTTTTGCCATCTTGAATCCACCCTGATATTGCTTGGCCACACATGTCCCAGTTTTCATCTGTGTAATGTTTGAGAGTATAGCATTTTCAAGTCATTTTCCCACCATGTTTCTTAATGCTGGAATCATCTTTTATTTTAGGAATATCTGTGGGCCTCTAGATGCTGTTGGACTACAACTTCCATAATCTTTGACCACTAACCATGGCTGGGGCTATTGGCAGATAAGAGTCCCATAACATCTGGAAGGCCATAGTTTCCCCACTTTTGCTTTATTTATTTGGGCATTTATATTCTGCCTGACTTGTGATAAAATCAAGCTCAAGAGTGCTTAGAAATAACAAATAGAGCCCAACAAAATAAAATAAAATAAAATAAAATAAAATAAAATAAAATAAAATAAAACTACGGTAACCAGAACAGAGAAACAACAAATAAAGAGCATTTAAAGCCTATCCCAAAATAGGACATTGCACAAGAGAAGTCAATTTAGCAGAGAATGCAATTACACCCTACCGCTTGAGGAACTTTTATTTATATTTAGTATGAGTGCAAGTTGCTACTAAGGATGTTTGTGGAGAGGGAAATTTATCTCTTGAACAATTTAAAATAAGTCCCTCAAACTGTTTTAATTTAAACTGCCAAACCAGGAGGTGCTACCACTTGAATTGAAAATGGCCATTTTCTGCTCTCCTAACTGCTTCTTTGTAATCAAGATCACAGGGTTTTAAAATATATTTTCCCCTTGGCATAGTTTGGCTCTTGTGTTTTAGTTACTGAACTACATCAGGTAGAAATTCAATCGGCAACACCCTTTCAATAAC